GAAAACCATATGGCATCCCCCCTGAGGATGGCCATAAATGATCATAACTTGTATAGAAAACAACTTCCTGAAAAAAAAGTCAGCCCGGAAGAGAAAACACATAGATGGTTGATGGTTAAACCCATTTTTGCTTGCTCGTTTGAAAGTGTATAATCCCCATCATAGTTGCTTAAACCCCTATTGTTTGGTCATTTTATGGTGCTAAACCCATCATACCACCAATTTTGCTGGTTAAATCCTCCTTTTTGATAGTTCACTCCCAATTTTGGTGGTTCAATTCCAGTTTTTAATGGTTAAATTATAACTTCCAATTTTTGATGCTTAAAGCACCGTCTCCGGCAACCTTAAAGCATGGCACAAACTAAAAACCGCCTGCGGTGGGAGATTGCTCCACAGAACCGGCCGCGAAGATCTTCTTGAAGGAAGCAAAGTCCATGAAGTCCTGGGTTTTTTTCCCGTGAAACACCGAGTGACATGACCAAAAACATGAGGGTTTTACCATGGTTTTACAGATGGTTTAACCCACCAAAATTAGAACAATTGGGGATGGATGGAGAACTGGGTGCAAAGAACCCAGCTGCTTGTATACCAGCATCACAAAGTTCGTGCCCAACTCTGCACTTGAGGTGGTCATCTACTCCGAACAAGTCGGATGTGGGTTTCTGAAGGTCAATTTTGTCTTGGATCAACAAAGCAACGAGAAAAACAGTCTGCTCAATTCTCGGACCCCCCCCCACCCTCCAGTAATTGAACATAGCTATGGGCGGGTTATAGATGATTTAGCTGTATTTAACATGATGATTTTCCGCAATGTGAAATTACCCAAGGGTAGCCATGGCTTCCTGCATTACTTGGGATATCTTGGGATAGCAGGATAGGCCTATAGCCGAGTGAGTCACGATACCCTCTGAGAATGTAACCGGGGAATCCCTGTCAGAAAACATGAAAATCTGGGTCTCTCAAAATAGAGCACCCAGAAGAATACTCCACATTTTCATGGTTTAATATATGGTTGAGCATCATTTTTCCGTATTTTTCCTATCAAAATATCTCGCATCCGGCATCATTTTTCTTTGTCGAGTCGCGTCGCGATATCCTCCGATGGTTTTTGCAAGCCTCGGTGTCCAGGCGGCTAACGGAGTGGAGGACTTGCCATGGGGAGTATCTCGTAGTCAACTAAGTCGGTAAGTAGGTTATAGTAGGTTATAGTAGGTTATAGTAGGTTATAGTAGGTTATAGTAGGTTATAGTAGGTTAACTAGGATTTAAGGTAGATAATTCGTATTCTATCTTAGTCTATGGTTGATGTTAATTAATAGATGTTAATAGATTCTAATAGATGTTAGTGGGGTTTATAAACCAACTTCTGGGGGATACTGGGGGCCACCTTCTCCAGGCCCGGTTTTACTAATGACCTGGACGATTTAGGGGTAAATCAACAATAAACCACCCATAATTTTGATGGTTAGAGTCTATACCACCCATAAAATGGTAAACTTGGGGATGGTTTAGTATTGCTTTACTAACATGAATCAACTAATTCCATCATCTTTCTGGTCCTAGTGCCATCACAAAATCGGGTATGACGATTTAATAGTTTTTTTCTAGCTGTAGACCTGGTGATGATCGGACAATACTTCTGATCCAGTGCAAATCATCTGGTGATGTGACATGACGTCCTGGCCTGGTGGTAACTATACCAGCTATGCCCAGGTATGCCCAGGTCATCATTGCTCCAGAAAATCAACCCACTGGCGTCATCCCATCGAAAATTCGCACATTTCGTATCCCATTTGGGTCTGAACATGGAGGATTTTAACCCATGAATTTATGGCCATTTGACAGGTAACGTCAGGATGATTGGCATGAAAATTTGCGGCGCTATATCCATGTTAATCCTCTTTATGTTCAATCATTTTCCAGGTACCCTCTGGTAAACTAACGTAACTATGGAAAATCACCATTTTTAATGGGAAAATCCACTATAACTGGCCATTTTCAATAGCTATGTCTGACATAACCAGAGGGTATATCCTCCAATTTCATGCGGGTGAATCCTCCAGTTCCTGGGCTCTCTGACTCCCAGGTGGCGTTCACCTGTTCATCACTGAGGTTCAGGTCCTGGCCGAAGTGTGGCGACTGCAGAGCTTCCAGGGCTTGAAGGAAAGGAGGGGAACAAAGGTGAAGGCAATGATAATTATATGCAATAATGTATATTATATATTATGTATATATATATATAAAGTATGTGTATATATATATACACACGTATATATAAAACATAATTATACGTATATAGTTATCTATATACTTATATAGTGATATATAGTGATAATCAAAAAACATGATAATATGAGAGCGATAATTATGATATGATATTCTAAGGAGAGACTATGCAGACAGGGTTCTTGCAGCAACCATACTCATTGTATCAATCTGACGTAACTTTGAGATTTTTGATTAATTAAGAGCTTTGTGCAATTGGATTTTTCGAGGGTTGATCAAATGATGTGTTCTGGCTTGGGTTGCCAACCGAAAAATGTCCTGAACTGAAGTATAGTGATCCTCCATCAAAAATCAAACAATGCATCATACATCCCCATCAAAACAGTTGAATTAGTTGAGAATAACGTTCCATATCTTTCTTATCATGGTTCATTCACGTTTTATCTGTTTTTGGACCCCAGACCCTTGTAACATCCGAAACGTCAGGCGCCCACACCCCAAACTGTAGCAATGCAGCGCGAAATCCGGCGATGCCTCAATCGGGAGGTGATTTTAACGATCAACCATGGCGGTTTTAACCATCAAAAATGGTGGTTTTCCCCAAAAAAACTGGGGGTTCAACCATTGGACATGGTGATTTTACCATCGAACATGGTGAATTCATGAAGACAAATTGGTGGTCTAATCAACCAAAATTGGGATTTAATCCAGAACGCCAAATAACCATCACTAAACCCGGTTTGTTTAAAAATTTCGGGACAACTCCAAAATCAACTGGACAACTGGATAACATCCTACAGACAATCACAACAGGGTGTCACTGCTCAGGGGTAATCATATCTTCACTTCCTTAGTTTTAACAACAAATTTTGTACAGCAATTGTTTATATCCTATATGACCATAATAAATGTAATAAGCACATCATCAGTTTAGATGGCTGCAATACTGGCAAACTACAACTTGATCAGTTGATGTCAAAAAAGAGACATCTTGGGGTTTCCCAACTGAAAGATGAAGTGACCGGTGCTTCCAGGATGTTCCATGAGTTGCCTCATCGATGGAACATGACGAACATCCAAAACAAGTGAAACCACGAGGGCAGTGTCTTTTTCTTCTCAGTGTGTTTTGTTCTCAGTTGGCTCCAAAGCCCCGTATTTATCTTATATTTCTGCTTGGTGCCTCAATTTTTGGGAATCCTATGTGGATATTCGGTCACCCGGGATTTTCGCCAAGGCAGCACGGCCCCACGCCCGTCAAGTCACGCACTTCGCCCTCTCCAGTGAGGTCCAGGGTATGAAAAGCACCAGACAGGGATCCCTGCAACTGCCGATTTTCACAGGGAAAAATCTGGTAAAATGGTTGGTTCATGTTGGTTCTAAAGTTCTAAACCATTGGATTTTGAGATGCCCTAATTTTCAGACCAAAGCGTAGATGTAGATGTTGTAATCTCCACAGCTATATGGGACCATATATATATATATATATATATTTATTTATATATTTATATACCATATATATATATATATATAATATACATAGATTCGGTATCATGGTGTGATACCCGTGGGAGACATAAAAGGAAGTTGATCTTGATCAAAAACCCATTCAACTCATCCAACTGTGTCAGTTTTCATAGGCCATGAAACAGAAGGACATGTATATTGCATACTGATGCAAACATACCACACAATCCAAATCCACTATGAATTTATATAAATCCAACGATGGAACATCGAACACAATATTGCAACCACCGATCAGTTTAGTCTCGTCTAAAACACATCGCGGACGCATTCTTTTTACAGTTGCCGGCTGCACCGTTCGGTGTCCAGCGGATGTGGAATGCCGCACTGGTTTTAAGTGCAGCTGCGCACTGGCTCGCAGTTGTTTCCACCGAGCATCCTGGCCAGCCTGCCTGGTACAATGGGCATCCCAATGTTGGCCACAACAAAAATTCCTAGCAATGGTGGTATGACCACCGCCCAATATGGATCAATACAGGCTAATCATGGCTAAGCATGGCGAATCTAATATATCTAATCGAAATCTAATCGAAATCAAATCGAATCTAACTTTTGACCAAGATTTCTGGTGATTCACCATTGTTACTATAAACTAGCCATAAGTAATCATATGTGTTGTGGTTGATTGGAAACACCAATGTGGCGGCAGATTGGAGCAGACCCGGTGGCCACTGCGGAACTATTGGATCTCAACTGCCAGCGGAACCATCAGCGATACCATTTGAAATGGGCTGTTCAATCTGAAATGTCACATGTGACCTGAGTGTGATACCTGCGCCTCTCTATGCTCTCTCTCTCTCTCTATGCTCTCTCTCTCTCTCTATGATATATATATATATATATCATATCATATACATGATTATATATGTGATATCAATTACACACACATAATTATCATGCTGGTATCTTGAATCCGGCTGAGCTAAAAAAGCCGTGGATGAGTGAGCCACTGACAATATCATTCTTTTATGAAACCATCACTTATGGATGGACGTCCATGGTTTCCAACAGAGTACGAAAACCATTTAAAAGGAATCCTTCTGCTGGAATCGTGTCTACTTGCATGTAGAACGACTGACTATCGAAATATAACGAAATGATATGTTGGTGTCGATGAAATCCCCATGTACAGCAGCTCAAAGAAGTTACGTCACATACATATTTTTTCTCCCGTTTTATGGCTAGGCTATAAGCGACTATAAATCAACCTCTTGACCCACCAATCGCCCGAGCTTTACCCTCTTACCCCCAATTTGGTTTCCTAGAGTCAGTGGCTCATGTCATAAAGTCTGCCCAAACTGAGCTCACTTGAAACATCTTCAAGTCGCTCATCAATGCCTGAGCGGCAGATTCTAGGCGACCCCTGGCGCTGGTGTCAACTCATCTCCAGTAGGGCAGCAATGGACGAATGTTGGTCATCTCCAGTCTTCAACCGTCCATCTTTTTGTGGTTCAAATCATTTCTATCCATACCCTCTGGTAAACTGTCCCATAACTATGGAAAATCACCATGCTATTAATGGGAAAATCCACGAACTAAATGGTCATTTTTAATAGCTACGTCTGACACAACCAGAGGGTACCCAGTCCAAAAAGTCCATTGAAGCCCATCAAAGATGGAAACTGGACGAAAAACCAGTGATACCCTCTGGTTATGTCAGACATAGCTATTGAAAATGGCCATAGAAATAGTGAGTTTTCCCATGAAAAATGATGATTTTCCATAGTTATGTTAGTTTACCAGAGGGTACCTTGTTTTTGGTGCAAATTCGTCACATTTCCAGCCAAAAAAATCGATACTGTAAACACTGGGGAATCTCATGCTGTCCATCCTTGGACCACCAATTTTTTCCTGGTGCAAAAGCCATCCTTTGACCGAGCCGATCCCGCGCATGACATCACCCATGGTAAATCCTCAGGTGAAAATTGAAATTGCTGGTAAATTGATGTTCATCCCACCCCCAAAAAATGTATTTATAGGTTATTGATCCACAGACATTTAGTTGACACTGTCGACACCTTCCAAATTCGGCCCCCGCTTTGTCACAGGATCACAAATTTCCTATCAAGATCTGTCCAAGCGGCCATGACATCTTGGGGCCTGTCATGGCAGTGACCCCCAATGGATGCTTAGTGACATGGAATATAAACATGCATGCATGTGCATATATATATATATATACACCTATCTATTATCTATATCTACCCTATCCTATCCCATCCAATCCCATCTCATTCCATCCATCCATCCATCCATCCATCCATCCATCCATATGATTTGATGTATATACTACACAGACTGCGATAATATAGTGTAATAAGTATATATTAATATAGTTGTAACTATATGTAGATAAATTACATAAATATGGTAGGGTCGGGAATGGTCCCAACTAGCAGGCAACTGAAAACCCACCGGTCGAGACGATCATGTGGGACATCCAGATAGTATCGGGGTGGAAATCCTCTTGATGATCTGCACTAATTCTGAATAATTCCCTTATTGAGTTCACACATCAGACATATTCAGAAATAGTCATTCAATGTCATTCAATTAATGACAATGATCATACAGGAATCATACATATTAAAACCCAGAAAAAACTATTCCCAAACCAGAAATACTACAGATACAGGCCATGTAGATATACATGTATCATAATTAGTTCTGATGTGAGAATATGCTATACCCTCTGGTTATTTAACATAGATGTGGACAACATGGCCCAGACAAATCGATGATTTAGCTCTTAAAAACGGTGATTTAGCTCTTAAAAACGGTGATTTTCTACATCCCAAGGGATCCCATGGCCCATTAGCTCGTTGGCTTCCCCTTCCTCTCAGGCCTCTGGGTTAGAGCAACCAAGTTCTCCTCAACAGCCAGGAATGGTTGCCGTATATCGAGAGTTGCTTTAGGACCACCAACAATATGGGGATATCTTGGGAAAATCATGGGGATATGATAATATTTTTAACATATACATATATATGATATTATATGATTTTGTATGAATTTATATGATATTAGCTTTATAATTTATACTACACAAACAACAAATTAGGTTGTATTTCCTTTTTGCGACCAATTCATGGTATTTTGTTCAAGGTTCATTTGTGTTCAAAACCTGAAATGTCGTCCCTTGAACAACTAGTTTGTTCAGAACGGGATTCTGCCCAATGGATTATGATCACCCCACCCCCAATATATTATATTTAGATATATTTAGTATGTATATCTCTGAACAAATTGTCAACCAACAGGCTTTTGACCAATGCTCATTTGGAATTCGCGGTGTTCACCGTTTTTGCTGTCTTTGATGGACACAGGTCATGGACAGCTGACCATGAATTCCACAAACCTCTCATTCAGAATTTCGGATCCCTAAAAGTCATCTAAAATACGGTGGTCCAGCACCAGTTGATAGGTGGTTAATCCCACTATTTATAGGGTTTCAACATGTTTCAACCATCCAAAATTGGTGGTTTCTCGGATTTCGCTGGCCCAAAAAAACAGTAGGGCCATGGGCCATAGGGTTTAGGGTTCACAGGATCGCCACAGGTCCAAAAAAAAAAACATGGCCTAAGCCTTAGAAACTTTGCTACCCATATCAAATTCACATATATATTTTGTTTGCCTTGATTTATGAAGACATGATCAAAATATAGGGTTTATCCATGGTTTATCCAGCAGAACCCTGGCTCCTCAATCTTCTTCTCTGTCTCTTCTTTGGACAAACCAGTCAGCAAATCCTGCGCTGGATCAACTGGATCAACTGGGATCATCGGAATGGATTTCCGTTGGGGAAAGCGCTGCGTGGCTTTTCCACCATGGCTTTTGACATGGCTTTGTCTGAAAATGGCAGTGTGTCAAAACCTTGTACCCCTGGTGAACATCAAAATAGCTGGTAAATGGATGTTCATCCCACTAAAAATGGTATGTATAGGTATTGACCCATACCCAAATAGTTTCCAAATCTGATGGTTCATCGGAATTTTCCTTATCAAAATGGCAGTTTCTAGAAGGTCGAATCACCATTTTCAGACACGCAGACATGTTTGCAGTGGGCAAAGTCTCCCAACATGACCAGGCAAGTTGCTCCATCTGCATCAACAGATTCATACTGATTCACCTGCCTGAGAAGACCACTCGGCTTTCCTTGAGCAATCTTCAGGTCACCTCATCCTCAACATCATGACTATAACATATATTACTATAATAAAATTACTTTACTAAATAACAACAGTCGTAGTCATATCGCCGTCATCATCATCATCATCATTAGATAGAAAATCAACTGCCATCAATCATCTATTGATGAATTGTTCATTGCCTAATTCCTGGAGGGTAATTCTTGAATTGGAATGGTCGAATGCAATACAACTCGCAGCCCCTCTCCAGACTTCTCCAGGTTTTTTTTCCTATCCTCACAGCCATATGTGAAACCCCCTCATCACCCCTCCTGAAAATACGAGTAGAATGGTGGATCATCTCCCGCAGTAAAGATGCCTTTATTCTTGCTGAAGTAGTATTGGTACTCAAACCAGATTATACCCCAGTTACATTTGATCAACCGTTACAACCATTCATCAAAACCGGGCTGTGTATGGAATATCCCAGGTAATAAGAAGTTATATAATATAATTATTGTGTATATATATATATATAACGTGTATATCCATATATATATATATACATAAGTGGTTTCCCAGGGATATATGATGATATATGCTATATTATTGTAACATCTACTATCTATCCTTACCCATGGTTATATAATAAGCTATGGCTTATATATGGCTCACTCACGAAGCTCGCCACCATCCCATTGCGCGTCCTCTTCCTTTAAGGCTTTCGTCACCCGTAGCTCCATCGTTTGGTTGTACTCCTCGGCCAAGGTCTTTTGCTGCGTCTTCCGGTGTAATTTGTTGATTTCTGAACTGTTACCACCTACACTTGACATGTTTAGATATATGTTTATAGTTTATGATACTGTTGACTTGTTGATGATATATGTTTATATAGTTCTAAATAGTTCTAAATAGTTCTAAGTTGTATTGGTGTATCTGAGAGTGATATGCGTGGCTGTGTATTTTACTTGCTAAGTGGGTAATTTCAATCACATGCAATCCAGCTGTGTGTGGGATCTATATATATATAATATAAAGTTATATATATATATACATACATGTACATATACCCCAATTATACATGGCTTAACACATATGAACCACTGAGCCATCGGGATGCAGCCTCGATTGAGTATGGCTCATTTCACCTAGACGACTTGAACTATTTCTTGGGGAAAACATTGAGGAAACTGTGGATGGTTGCAAAATCCTGCACCAGTTGCTAAGCATTGGCATTCATTTGAAACACTGAAAATACATATAAATAATGGGATTATAGTGGGCTTGAATAAACCGTCTACAAATATGTTTACCATAAATCCGAGTCAAACATAGATATCATTCTCCCATTAACTAGAGATATATCATGATATATCTACCATAGACATCCATAAACCAACATGAACATATAAACCCTATAGTTAAATATAGTTAATCTATGTTAATCTACTGAACTAAACCAACAAGGTGCCAAGTCTTTCCTCACCGTTGCAGGTTCCAAGCAGCCGGAATTCAACGAATCTCCCAATGATTTTTTGAACCAGTTATTGAGACAGCAAAATGAATAGATCTTTTACACTGACCATATGTTTGAAGGGAATCTCTAAGATTTGTGGCTTTGTGGGAAGGATCCTTATGAGTGGTCCGAAACTTCAACCCATCCTCAAAACGACTTTCAGTTTTGCCAAATGCTCGCTAACTCAACCAGATTTAAAACCACCATGGCACTACAGCCACTACTGTTGGTACACTGACGGGCCCTGCTAGGTCGAAAAGTTGGGTGAGCCCAGCTTCCCGAAACCAAATTGGATGGCAGGATCCTGGAAATCACCAAAAAAATAATGAAATCCAGGATCTGACTATAGGCCCTGGAGAAAAAAGGATATAGAATTTGTATGTCCAATTTCTACCCAATGTTTGTTTGATATCTCAAACCATCAGCCCCCCACATGTTTCCGTCCACCACAAGCCCGGCCGGCCCAGGCAACCAAAGCATCCGTGTGTTGCGCGGCAGTGACAATGCCATGGCTCTTACACCTGCAGCATTGAGGTCACCCTTGGCAACAACCGTTGGCATGTCATGTTTATCTGAGCCCATGTTCGGAATTATGTTTGGTACAGTGATGGACAGTGTGTCATATCAGGACTACCAAGAACTAACATGTTAGGATATACAGTATATATCTATAGACAATTTGATATGTGTGTATATGTATATATGTATGTATGTATGAATGTATGTATGTATGTATGAATGTATGTATTTATGTACGAATGAATGTATGAATGAATGAATGAATGAATGTATGTACAACTGTATCAACAATGTACATAATATACATGTATATATATATATATATGTAAATATATATATATATGTATATACACGGTACACACACATATATATATATATACACTATAAAAATGATGTAACTATATCTATAGAGAAGTTGGGTATAGATCACCACCACCTAATCGGTTGATTAATTCATGGCTACAACATGTTCTATGCCTCACTGCTGGAGCCCGTATCCACCATTTGCTTATGTCTGAAAACGTGACGGTATATACCCCAAATATAAATTGTAATGGGGAGTATGATCAAACAAATGATGAAAATTGGATGTTGAGGTTTTCATAATTTCAGACAAGACTCTATATATATAATTATATATATACATATAAAGTGTATCTAACGGTTGCTTAGTGCAATGTCAACCCCCTCAAAGGGTTGACCGTTGGGTACCACCGCAGCAAATGACTTTGGGGACACCCCCGAGTTTCTATCGGTTGACGTTCTACCGAATGTGCCTTTTTCATAGAGTAGATGATGACACTGAATAACGGAGAACATAGAGTGGGTGATGCAAAACCACTGTATACCCTCTGAAATTTCAAATAGCCTTTGGAAAATGGTTCAGTTATGGATGATTTACATTGATTTACCTACTAAAGATGGTGATCTTCCATAGCACATGGTACCAGTGGACTATAGGGGGATGTCTGCACCATTTTGGAAGCAACAAGCCGGCGAATTGCCTGTTGAAGACGCGCTGCAACTGTGGCCAATTGAGCCTGCTGCTAAAGTCGCATTCTGCCTGCCGGAGAAGGCACGCGGAGGTTTTTCATACCACAACTGGGTTCTATATTACCCTCTGGTAAATTAACATAGACCCTGAAAATAACCTAGTTTTGATGGAAACTAATCTTCCAACCCCTATCTGCCAGGGTCTATGTTAATTTACCAGAGGGTAGGTCATGAAACGGGCTTAGGAACTGCTGAACCTTTTGGCTTCATCAACCTTGTCTCAAAATGGATACCCCAAAATAGCCATGGGGGGGATACCATGTTCTCCATCATGGGACAGATTGGGTTTCCATCATCGCAAATGGGCCTTGAGATGACAAATTCACACGAATTGTCTGATCTCGTCAACATGAATGAAGGGGATTTTGCAAGCATAATTTGTTCATCAATTATATAGGAAGTTTCCTGAAATAGGGGTACCCCTAAATCTTCCATTTTGGATGGGGATTTTCCATTATAAACCATCCAGCTATAGGGGTACCCCTATTTATGGAAACCAGGAGGCACCCACAGATCCAATCCTCTAGAGTTGTGCCTTCAGGAGAGAAAACATCCGCAATTCTGGAGGCATTGCATCCTGAATGGGCGAAAAAGTCTTTTGAAAAAAGGTGATGAAACCTGCCAAGGTTTAAGGTTTACACCCAATTTTCTAGGTCAAACTGGCCGACCCGACCATCCGAGAAGTGGACTACCACTACAGCATGTGCTTGATTTCGACTGGCTTCAGAGCCACGGTAGAGCCCTAGAGTTTCATAGGCTTCCCAGATGCGGCACCCAACCGTCAGGTCAAGACGGGTTCGGACCTGAACATGGCATATCCTTCCAATTTCAAAAGATTATCATCATCTTTCCCATGAAACTATAGCAACTTGGAAGGATATGCCCAGTTGCCCAGTTTAGTATAGGTCCCATGAAACTTTACATTTCAAATTTGGACCTATACGAACTATACCCCATCTTGGGACCAACCCCTCGCCGGTGAGACTTCATCCATCTCCCACGTCATCCACAGTCCCAGCGTCGTAAGACTTGTGAAATTTGACGACCGCCTTGGTGAGGGAAAAGATTGGACAATCACAATCGTACTGATTAAAATATCTAGTCTATATATACATATATGATATGTATATATTATAAATTACATATTATATAACATATAATAACCATCATCAGTTCAGAATCATCATCAGTTCAGCTCCAGAATCATCATCTTCACGATCATCCACATCAACCTCATTGTTGCGACACAATATGACATAATAACATGCCAACAAGGGCCAGATAGCTGCAGTTTATAATCATCACTTGTCAATGGTGTGTTTACCAAGAGGCACACATTCCGTACAATACCAACACGACCATGCAGATTCATGTCGTGTATCAAGTTCGATTGCATTTGGAGGCAAGCGCCTCGCAGAATGTGGGAAGTGATAGATAGGTGGAGGATGTTCACTCATGTACCGTAAATGCTGAGGCTTTGCCTCACAGCGCGCAGTTGCTGGGATATATATATATATGTATATATATATATACAAATATATTTTATACAATTATATACATATGTTCTTGGAGATACACCTGAAAAATACAATAAACCAGTTACCAGTATTAACTTCAAGGTCCATTCCAGTCAAGTAAGTCCAGTTGATTTTGACATCCACGTTGGATGCCATGGTCATGGCCACAGCCCTGGCCGCATCTAAGGGACGTCGACTGTCTTGTTCCAGGACAAGGATACGAATTCGTAGTAAACCTTGGCTCAAGGCCAGATGCGCGGTGCTGAAGCCCTGCAGCTATGCCAGCTATGCCAGCCCCTATATGATAGAAATCTACCGTAGAACACCCAAAATAATCTCCAAATAATTTGTGATCTTCAAGAGGGAATTACTGTGGGCGCTTTGGCTGGAAAAACATCATCATCATCATCATCATCATCATCATCATCAGGTTGGTGGTTTTAACAATCTTGAAAAATACTAGTCAATGGGAAGGATGACATCCCATATATTATGAACAATAAAATTCATGTTCCAAACCACCAACCAGTCATCCATCATCAATAATAATAGTAATATATGATAGTGAATATCAACACTAATAATCATAGTAGTACTATTATCGACAAATATCATCATCATCATCACCATCATCATCATCATCATCAATAATCATTAATAAACATTAATAGCCATTAATAACCATTATATAACATTATATAACCATAATATAATAACCATTGATAACCATCATCATCATCATCATCATCAACATCATCATCATCATCATCATCATCATCATTAACCATGATTAACCATGATTAACCATGATTAACCATCATTAACCATCATTAACCATTATTCACCATTATATAACCATTATATAACCATTATATAATAACCATTGAGAAACATTATTAAACATTATCATCATCATCATCATCATCATCATCTTCATCATCATCATCATCATCATCATTAACCATCACTAACCATGATTAACCATCATTAACCATGATTAACCATCATTAACCATAATTAACCATGATTAACCATCATTAACCATTATCAACCATCATTAACTATGATTAACCATCATTAACCATCATTAACCATTATTCACCATTATATAACCATTATATAATAACCATTGTTAACCACCATCATCATCTTTTACATCTACGTCCAAAAAACCCAGATCCGACTCACCTCTGGGGCCTCCCCGCCGGATCGTCGGACCTCACTTTGCCATCCTTCATGGTGACCTGCCATGTTTTCCGGGCGATCCCAGGGGTCATGGCGACCCATGGGGATCTACGACACGGCGATACCGGGGGCGGTAGATGTACCCTCTAGTGGCCATAGAAATAGCTGATTTACCCATGAAAAATTGGTGGCCCAGTCGAAATAGCTGATTTACCCATGAATTTCATGGTGGTTTTCCATGGTTTACCATGGTGATGAACCAGTTTACCAGAGGGCCTCTGTTCATTGACCGGGATGGTCATAAAGTAGGCCGGCCAGTCGTTGTCCAAACATACCAAAAACATCCAACGGACTCCAACGGATCAAGATCTTCTGTCATTTTCGAAAAAAAAACAACATCATCAAACATCATCAAACCAGACATCATGTTGATTGACATAATCCAACAAAAAAAGGGGATCGGTCCTCCTATCAAATAACTCCACAAAAAAAAAAGCCGCTATTCACACTCCAACCATGACTATTCTGTTCATTGGGACATACAAACCTGCAGTGAAGGATGGGGATCCGCTGCTACTTGCAACCAACGAGTCCGGTCGGAACTGGAACCACCTGAATCATGAACAAAACCCAGGTTGATTGTTTTTTTCATATAGGGAATTACACTAAATGGATCTAAATGGTTCATGACTTACATGTCTTTTGCCCAGGTTTCCATCCCAGGATTCCACAGTCATGAAGTAACTCTTCCGCCCAAGTCGTGTTTTGGGAACCACGGGTGTCGAAGCCACGGCAGGCTTGGCACCTTCTGGATAATCTGTGCCTCAAAGCACAAACCACCACCCGCAGGTCAGCACAAACAATGAAAAACACACCCCAAAAACATTCTGCAAAAAAACAAAACAAACATGTCCTTGAGGACTTTGCGGGGAAAAGGCGTATATTGCGGGGTCCAAGTGCACATGTCACAGCCCAGGGACCAACCAAACACGGTTGCGCGGACTCTCATCCTCACCTGCCAAATCGTGGTTGGTTCAATGACTGGTGGTGCAGCCCAAGCATCCAACATTTTTGAGGAAGTTTGGATTTTAGTGACATCTTAGAGGACAAGAACAACTACTTGGTGGTTTACCACCAGGAGTTCTTGTGGATTTTCCCACTGAACCAAGGTGTGACAAAACCTGGTTGCCATTTGGAGTCATCATTTCCAGGCGGGATGGAGTTGCTTGAGGGGGGCCCCAAATAGTCCCATTTCATTAGATTACTAGATTCCCCAATGGTGAATTTATCAACGGGAAAACCAAAACATCAATACAGCAAATTCAGGAAATCTTTGAGTCTGTTTTCCTTCAGATTCATCTCAGTTGCAGCTCTATGGTGACCAGCAAAATCTTGTGAGTTTCCCGTGTGTACTTGGCAATGTCCTTGGAGTCGTTTCTCATCCATCCGAAACCATCCGATGGCACGGATCTGATGGCACGGTTACGCCGGTTATGCCTTCCAGGAGCTCAGGGATCACCATGAGATCCAAGTCGATGTTCTCATGGATTTTGCCTCAGAACTCAAAGGATAGAACTGATTTTGCCCAAAAAACCATGGGGCTGTGGGTTGATTGATCTGGTGGTTTCACTGAAAAGTACGTCGTGCAACCCCCATTTCGCCAACATGGTGAAAGTTGTGATGTGACAGTGGGAATTGAGCCAAAGGACAACGTATAGAGGGCACACGAGCTTTTATGAGGGTATCATTCCCAGATATGATACTTTATCACCAAACACAAAACTGATTGATAGGAGTAAAAACACCTGAAACTGTTCGCCCTGACAAAAAACCTTTATTGGTTACCTGTTTTTTCAACTAACAAATCATCGACAGTGAGGATATCGGCAATCACCAATTGTGGGAAGGAACAAACACGTCAGATTGTGTAAGAAACACCAAATCGCTGTGTCTTGACACTATTGATAAACCACTGTATTTTGGGATACCTCCAATATGTATGATATGTGCATGTGGATATCTACTATATATATATATATTATATATATAATATAGTATATATATCTATATATATGTATCCCAACTATAAAATAGAAAAAACACTAATATTCCAATATAGTCCCAATTGTTTTGGTGCATCCGATATACTCCCTGGTGTTTTTTTCCGGGACGATTAGCCTTGTGTGGATGATTGACCTATAGGTTCTGTGGCCACTTCAAGATCCAAATAAAATATGTGGATACACACACATTTGGGTTTGTCTCACAATGTGGTATACCCTGCACAATAACAACTATACATACACTTTTTAAAATGGTGATGAACCAATGAACTGCGGTGTGTTATCCATTTTTAAAAGAACAATCACATTGGTTGAGAACGGGATTCCAAGTTCATGGATGTTGAATGTTGATAGCTTCCTACGTGTTCGCAGTGTTCAAAACCCGAACGGTCTTTAAACCATACTGGTTGGTCAAGAACGGGATTCCCATATATTCCCATGGATTGTCATCATTCCCAGAAAAAAAAAAAAACATAATTGGGTAGTATACCCCCCGTAATCATCCAGCAACACACCTGTACATAGGACGCCACTGCAACAATTTCTCCAGGCCACCAGCTACCACGCAGGACTCGGTGGCCAAGTATTTGGCCTCTCGTGCCACCAAGGATCAGCCAGGGATCACCAATAACTATGGTTTATAGGTGATATATCTATAGTTAATGGGTTATGATACTTATAACATCTTACAACTTCCCATATGGAGTCTTCCTGAAATGGGGGTACCCCAAAAACTGGATGGTTTATTTCATGGACAATCCTACTAAAATGAATGATTTGGGGGTCCCCCATTTCAGGAAATCTTCATATTCTTGAGATGGTACTGATTTTCATGGGAAACATGAGATAATACTGATAATACCCTAAGTTTGTGATGAAGTCCCTTAATCTATATGGCAGTCCCTAAGTTCATATCCTCATTATACCCCACTGAAAAACCGCAGTACATGGTGGTTGACGTGGTAACTCCCATAAATTTCATATTGGGATGCTACAACCATCTCCAAGTGGTAGAAATCATGTATTGCACATCTTAGAATACACTGGAATGACACACACACACATAAACAAATAAATATGTGATGATTATATATGATTATTGGAATCCAAACATAATCGATAATAAAGGGTATATAGAACCCTATGACTGGGTGGATGACCATCCCCCTCTCGGGAAACAAACCGTGTTTTTGACCATGGCGCATGTGGCTCTGTCCCAATTTTGATGGCCATTAATTCATGGAAAACATTGGCGAAAATGATGATCAACCACTGAAATTTGAAATATAGTATGATACAGCAATATAATGACATATGTAATATCTATACTGTGACATTAATATGATAATAGTATATTATCATACTACTTTAATTTATGATGACATTTATACCACATTTTCAGACAAACTCATACAGATTCATACAGCTATGGCTCAACCCTGTATGAGGTGAACAGTTTCTGCCTAAAGATTCCAGGCAACAACAACTGCTCTTCCAGTTAGGACAGGGGGTCACCAGCAAATATCCTCAACAAGTTGTTGAAGATCCCAACATGCGCCATATTTCTCGTGTTTGGGATGGATCTAACCAGGGTCTCAGGATTGTTGACCCAGTCTAAACAGGAAATTGCACCTTCAACTTCTTCGTGTTGAGGCCCACAGGCGGCTCAGACCAACGGTTGGTGTAGTGCCGGGCCTGGCTCCAAAAGATCTGCTTTGACAAGCCATAGATTCCTCCACCCATACTCAAAATCCCCTAGAAACCGGCCCCGGCAAGGCCGGGAACCCGGCCTTCCCGGTCAGGGCCAACATGGGTTTGGCCTTTTGCTTTTCGCCTTCCTTCTCAGACCAGATCTCCACACAGAACTTCGCCTTGGGGCAGGGTTTTTCGGCAACCAGAAATGAGTCCCTTTGTCGAAGATTGGGGGATGCCCCAAACATGGAGAACAATGATTATCTGCAATAGGATTTGGGGGCACCCTATCTTTGGACATTCCCAAATGGGGATAGAGTTGCCATATTTGCCAGGTTCATATTTGGATTCAAGGGGAGATCTGAGGTAAGATCGCAGGATATGTGATCAAGGTGGCCACTAAGTCACTATTAGGAAATCCGTCTCCTGCAAGGATATTGGTTGCCGGGTTTGAGTCAAACATTGTATGCCGATGTAGCCAACACTTATTGGATTGTGGGAACTATAGGGATTCCACCAATGATACTGGAATTCATTGATACCCTCTGGTAAACTAACATAACTATTGAAAATTGCCATCTCTAGCTGATTTACCCACTAAAAATGGTGATTTTCAATAGCTATGTCTGACATAACCAGAGGGTATCTGGCAAAGCCTTCTCCCGTGTCGAATGCTTTCGGGTGTAGCCATGCCATTTTTCCGTCCTTTCCGGGAGTCTATTCGTTGTGAAAACGTATCAAGTCCCTGGAGTCGCATCATCCATATTTTTTGGAATATTATTTGTACCCTCTGGTAAACTGTCCCATAACTATTTTTAAAATCACCATGTTTAATGGAAAAATTCACCATTAACATGGTGATTTTCCATAGTTATGTTAAATTACCAGAGGGTACAAGTAATATTATTGGCATCTATTAGGGATATTGTTGCTATCTATATGTATTAATATGTATTTATATGATTTTATATGTATTTATATGTATTTCATTGGCATTTAAGATATATAGGATTTTGTTAGTATCTAATGTATTAATATGATTGGTATTTAATTATAAGTTCCAAACGAATTCTAAGTTTAGGAACTACCCCATACACAAACACGGCCAAAAATGATAAAAATGAAGGATTGCTTGAGATGGCATCGTGTCGACCTTTGGACCAATATATCCCGCAATATCCCGCACGCAGACCTGCGCCCCATATTTTGAGCCCAACCTCGACACATGCACACTGATCACAAGCTGCTCACCAATACAGAACCAAACTCCAAAGTACGCAGAGTGTTTGGCAAAGACACCCCTTTGAGGACCTTGTTCAGGTACTTAACTTCTTCGCGGCTCTGGTCGAAATCATCGCCGAATGTCAAGCTCTGAAGATTGCTTGGCAGGTTCACTCTTTCCAGACTCTGGTTGAAGTCATGGCCGAATGCCAAGCTCTGAAGATTGCTTGGCAGGTTCACTCCTTCCAGGCTCTGGTCGAAACACCAGCCGAATGTCAAGCTCTGAAGATTGCTTGGCAGGTTCACTCCTTCCAGGCTCTGGTTGAAGACAGCGCCGAATGTCAAGCTCTGAAGATTGCTTGGCAGGTTCACTCCTTCCAGGCTCTGGTCGAAGACAGCGCCGAATGTCAAACTCTGAAGATTGCTTGGCAGTTTCACTCCTTCCAGGCTCTGGTTGAAGTGCCTGCCGAATGTCAAACTCTGAAGATTGCTTGGCAGGTTCACTCCTTTCAGGCTCTGGTTGAAGTCATGGCCGAATGTCAAGCTCTGAAGATTGCTTGGCAGGTTAGCTCCTTCCAGGCTCTGGTTGAAGTCATGGTCCAATGTCAAGCTCTGAAGATTGCTTGGCAGGTTAGCTCCTTCCGGGCTCTGGTCAAAGTAATGCCCGAATGTCAAGCTCTGAAGATTGCTTGAGAGGTTCACTCCTTCCAGGCTCTGGTTGAAGTAATACCCGAATGTCAAGCTCTGAAGATTGCTTGGCAGGTTCACTCCCTCCAGGCTCTGGTCGAAATCATCGCCGAATGTCAAGCTCTGAAGATTGCTTGGCAGGTTCACTCCTTCCAGGCTCTGGTTAAAGTCATGGCCGAATGTCAAGCTCTGAAGATTGCTTGGCATGTGCACTCCTTCAAGGCTCTGGTCGAAACACCAGCCGAATGTCAAGCTCTGAAGATTGCTTGGCAGGTTCACTCCTTCAAGGCTCTGGTTGAAGTAATACCCGAATGACAAGCTCTGAAGATTGCTTGGGAGGTTCACTCCTTCCAGGCTCTGGTTGAAGTAATACCCGAATGTCAAGCTCTGAAGATTGCTTGGCAGGTTCACTCCTGCTAGGCTCTGGTCGAAGTCATGGCAGAATTTCAATCTCTGAAGATTGCTTGGCAGTTTCACTCCTTCCAGGTTCTGGTTGAAGTGCCTGCCGAATATCAAACTCTGAAGATTGCTTGGCAGGTTCACTCCTTCCAGGTTCTGGTTGAAACACCAGCCGAATGTCAAGCTCTGAAGATTGCTTGGCAGGTTCACTCCTTCTAGGCTCTGGTTGAAGTCATCGCCGAATGTCAAGCTCTGAAGATTGCTTGGCAGGTTCACTCCTTCCAGGCTCTGGTTGAAGTTCTTGCCGAATCTCAAGCTCTGAAGATTGCTTGGCAGGTTCACTCCTTCCAGGCTCTGGTTGAAGTAATACCCGAATGTCAAGCTCTGAAGATTGCTTGGCAGGTTCACTCCTGCTAGGCTCTGGTCGAAGTCATGGCCGAATGTCAAACTCTGAAGATTGCTTGGCAGTTTCACTCCTTCCAGGTTCTGGTTGAAGTGCCTGCCGAATGTCAAACTCTGAAGATTGCTTGGCAGGTTCACTCCTTCCAGGCTCTGGTCGAAACTTTCGCCGAATGTCAAGCTCTGAAGATTGCTTGGCAGGCTCACTCCTTCCAGGCTCTGGTTAAATTGCTGGTGATATGCCAACATTTCAAGCGTCTGTGGGAGGTCCAACTGTACAGTAGGTGCACCTACGATCTGCGTGAGCCCCTGTAGTTCAAACTCTCCCTTGGAAACCGGGGATCGTTGCCCCTGGATGAAGCACCAGGCTGCGTACAAATCTGTTGGAACAGAAGTGCAAGAGAGTGTCGCGGCCTTGCCCACAATGTCCCGCTCTTGCAATGTTTGCTGGAGCATCAGCTGCTTGCCAAGGTACTGCAGGGTGAGTTGTTCGCCTTTCTTTGGTTGAAACTGCTTTGAGACCAGCCGATGTACTTCGCAACCCAAAGAGCAAGCACTAAGTTTCAACATAAAGCCTTCACCATTCAGCCGTAGTACATGAAGATCAATCAAGTCTGAATCACTACTGGGCACCACATAGCCGGCACAACTGCAAGGAGCACTGGTGGACATCTGTGGCTGTTTTCAACCTGGGACACGGGCCTTTGCCGGCAACGGTCAAAACCTTGTTAGGACGTGGACTTCAACATATCTTGCCACCAGCCTGTGCATCTTTCTGGGGATCAATGGCTGATGTTTCAGAGGTTTCTGCCAGGTGATCAGCAAACAATCATAGTGTACAAGAACAATCTGAGTAGGAAATTTAACGAAAATGCAACCCTGCATCTACAATACGCTCCCATTAAAAAATGCAAACGTGCAACATATTTAGCGACCCTTCACCAGTTGGTTTTTCCAATTTTCTTGATGATTGCTGTAGATTGTTTTGACTGCTACATGTTTGTTTATTGAAGCCGCAAACAAAATCCCGTTTGTTGGTTGCAAATATCCCAATGTGTCTTCATTGTTTACAAACTAATATGTTATCATAGTATGACAAAATCCCAAGTGGATGAAACATGTTCATCCCACCAGAGGATGGTCCCATGAAAAAAAACACTGCCATCTTTAGAGCTTGGAACTGCTAAAACTTACAGTACATTTACCAAAGGTATCCCAGATTTGCGGGATTCGGTGACCAACAATGTGGAGCTTGTTCTGTCTTTGACATGAAAGTGATATCTTTCCTTCCGCCAATTTCAAACGCACATCTGAAGCACATCTGGAGCCAGAATTCTGAAGGATTTGGAGGTCCTTACCCCTGGGATGCATTGGGGATCTCAGCATGGTGGAGGTGAACTGAAGTTGTCCCATGGATCGTTCTGGGCCGCGACCTCTATGTGCCGTGCCCTTTGGGCTTAGTCAACTCTGAGGCTAAGATCTCACAGTGGAGACGATCACGTGGTTTTCGTCTCACTGTGCTATCAACTCTGCTGTAGCCTATCCCTTTTCGAGAAGATTTCAGCACGTTGCCAAACTGGTTCTGTCACTTATGAACAAGTTCCGCCCAGTTCAACCCCCACTATGGCCAGTGAAACTAAGACCAGAATACACGGCAAGCCGCAAATAATGGATACCACCACAAACTATTCATATTTGTTTTCCAAGTTGGCTACTGTTGAACACACCTTATTTTTTTGGGAGGATTCCTTTATTTCCGGCCACGAGACCCAACAGATACGCCCCCCTTGCGCCGCAGCTTTCGTCAAAGCCCGGTGGCCAAGTTGTCCACAATCCGTTGCAGGACGCGTGAGTCGCAGGCATTCATCTCCTGCACTGGAAGTTGGAAGTTGTGGACATGTTAAGTCTCGCTTTATACTGATTAATATGATAATATAACCACTAACAGAGTTATATGATAAGATAGTGGTTAAAGTTATGATCATCCAAATTACTAGAATGTTCTAAATCCCATTTATATCCCATGAACCATCCATGAAATCCAACTAAAATCCCATGAATACCATATTTAATGACTGGGAATGGTGTCCACATACCTATAAAAATATCGCGATCTGGGGGATGGTTTATGAAATTCTTTTAACCACATGAGTAAAATTGTGAGATTCCCCAGGATATTCCCATGGAATGACATGATGGCTAAAAAGCCAGCAAAAAATCGTTCGTTGAGAACAGGATTCCCCCTGGTCAGTTGGTCAGTGAAAAATTCCCGAACTGATCTGCCAAAACCAGCAGGGGTGTTTTTCACAGTGCTCCATTGCATCCAATTGTGTATTAAACAATTCTCTGCTTTGTTTTGGACATGTTTACTGTGTGTGTTTTTTGGTGCATTTAAGGGAGGTGAATAAATAAAACATATTACATGTAGCTGATTTTCGTAGTGAGTGTAACCAGCTTGTGGTATTTCGTAAGGATCCCATGTGGCTGGTGCTACTAAGGTTCCTAGAGTAGCAACCACTGGTAGCAGTCCTTTTGGTTTGTACCAAGACTTGGTAGGATCTCATGTGACTGGTAGAGTCTCCTGGTAGAGTATATTCTTCAAGCAATAACAATGGCACACTGGCTAAGAATTTGGAGGAAGTATTCTTTTGCAGTTCTCAAGTTTACCAAAATAGCACCCAACTGACTGTTACCATCTGGTAATGTAACATATGGAAATGTAACATAGCTATGGAAAATGGTCCATCTAACATGGATCATTTACCTGTATATATATATATATGTGATAATTACATATATATATATAATATTATGCACACATACACATCTTATATTATCAGCATATTATATTTTGCATACAAATAATACTAGTACAGTAATAATAATCAACTGTTACATAGCCACTGGATACCACAGGCTAAAAGTGCTGGATTCTCCGGACTTCTCCATGTTCGTTTTTCCACTACCACGGGCCACCTCCTCTTCTTCGAACTTGAAGACTCGCTTTAGCTGTCCTGGGCGCTTCGTGTTAGGTCCGAGGGTCCGAGGCCTTGCTACTCTTGCTACGTTGCTTTTTTTTTCTATGCCTAGGGACAAATCCAGTAGCAGCCAGTAGTAAGCCGAAACGGCAACTGAAAACCAGAAATGATAACACCATCCCCAATTTTCTATGTTGTTTATGACACATTACAACCAATTTTCTATATTATTATATGTATTGGGAGAAAACATAACATTGTTTGAAGATCCATTTATGATATTGATGATTCTATTAATTTTCCGAATTGACGCGTATGCAACCAACACAACCGGATAAACAAATGTCGCTGTAACCAGCAGTCGTTGGAATACGACGTAACATATCCTTCGCTGGTAAGTCTACCTGCTGGGTGGGACATCCATTCAAGATTTCGGGGGATGTCAAAGGGATACAGTATCGTACCCATCCAGCACTCCTCTGACATCATGTGGATGGAACTATGGAACCAACATCGATATATATATATATATACAGCATGCAGAGACATACGCAGCGTCGCGTAACATTGCAATACATTATTACAATACACTACTGCACATAGCATGACATAGCATTGCAATACAATACATACCCTTACATAGCATTGCATATCATACCATACCTTTCCATGATACACATTAGCTTTACATTACATAGCATCACATCATATTACATCATATTGCATCATATTGTAACTGCACGTTTACCCTTTGGTAAACTAACATAACTATGGACAATCACCATGCTATTAATGGGAAAATCCACTATTTCAATGGCCATTTTCAATAGCAAAACTGTTGACATAACCAGAGGGTAACTGCGTATGACATTAATTAATGCCATAGATATCCATCGGATTTATCCACCCAGGCCTCCCGTCACCATGGCGACTCGACGCCAAGAAGCGCGCCAGCGCAGGCAGCAGCTCTTCCAATTCTTTGCTGGGCGTCTTGGCAGCCACCAGCTGTTCTCGTTGCCACTCCTGGGAAGAACAACGTGCACGAAACGCTTGTGGATGGTGGACGAAACTGCCTTGAACATTGAAGTACATGTAATATGTAAGGTTGATATAGAGTTCAAATCCTTTTCTATCTCTCTTGGGTTGAATTGGGGTGATAAGGTGTATATATTATATGATTTGGGCATGTATATCTTTAGATTCATAGATGATTGCGGATTGGATGGACCGTCAAGCTGCCAATATAGCTACATAATTTATCATAATATTACATAGTGTTGCATACACTACTGATCGGTGATGATCTGTGCATGAGTGTAACAGTGAGGACACTGTGCTGGATGCAACCGCATTGCATCTCATTTCTGTAGCAGGCTTTAAATTAAGTAAATATTTGTGTATTAATTGTATTATATAGATGAAACTGATGAAACGTGATGGAACATGATTGAACATGATGGAACATTTTGTTCTGAGCATTGTAGGAATTGTGAAAGGGGGCCTGGCAATCTCGACGAATCGTACCAGGTTTTTGTACGGCTCAAACGAGAATTTCCTGAAGAATGAAAGTAAGCACCCCAAAAAAGCAGTGGATTTCTCGTCATTGAGAAAATAACACCATCATCTTCAGCAGCAAATCCGATATGTTTCTGGCTTTCCGAAAAGTATCCTTGGATTTTGCTGAAGATGTTTTTTTCACTTTCTCCCAAGAATTAATTCAGTGTTTCTTCGTTTCCAGTCATTCTTCGTTTCCTGCAATTAAATGTGTTGCAGAATTACATGTTTCAACAACGTTTCCCATTTATAAATGGCTAAACTAACATCTTACAACCCCAGTTTCCAGCTATTTGTTTTGCAACATGTTGGTTTCAACCTGTTGGTTTCCAGTAGTGACCTTGGTTTCCGCCAGCCATTTGGAACGGGTGGAACGGAGCAGGAGGCGAGAGGCCAAGAACTCCTTGAAGGTGATACTGCGGCTCCTTAGGGGGAAAACACCCCATGGGTAGAAACTGGGGCTAGTTCAGCCATTTATAAATAGGATAACCCACTGAATGGGGACTTACCAACCAGATCTAACCAGGCTTATTACTGCAACCACTTACTAAGTGGGATGATCCTCCAATGATATCCTCTGGTTTTTTCACATGTGGCAAGGGGTAATCCCAGAACTAAATGGAGCTTTTAATCGGAATATCATCTATACATGGATATAAAATCTATATTGGGATTTTTCCTGCACGCCACGTTTGATTGCTGGAAGGTATCTTGTCTTTTTTAAAGCTGGTAGATATCCCCATTCCCATCCCGAGGGTGCACTTGAGGACCATCCCAAGGATGGCTCCACGCCCCCTCCAATCATCTCTTTTTCCATGCCCCAATTAGGATTCAGAGATTTTAACCATAGTTTTTATCACCAAAACTCCCAACATAACTGGTTTGGTGGTATACCTACCCCTCTGAAAAATATGAGTTCGTCAGTTGGGATGATGACATTCCCAATATATGGAAAAATAAAAAATGTTCCAAACCAGATAATTTCTTAAGGATGGATATTTTAGAAAACACAGAGGAAACTAGAGTTCTTCACCCCAAAATAGGACAGGAAAACAGAGTTTTTATCACCCCCAAATATAGGTGTTCTTCCTTTCAAACACATCCCCACACCCCTCAAACTTCAAACCTATCGGTCGGATCCAAGGCTCTTGTCCTGGTCCACCTGAACGAAGACCCTCTTGGCATCGTCTTCCAGCAGTGGAACACTTGTGGTTCCCTCTTTACCAAACTCCTTCTTGAACTGCTCTTCCTGGGATGATGGTGCCATGGATGGATGGTGAAAGTCCTGCTGGGTCTCCTGGGGTGTTTTTTTTTTTTGCTTCTGGATGTCTGCAAGAATTGCTTTGAGGAAAAACATGAAGAGAACAACTTCCTACACCATTGTGCATAATATATCCATGGGTGTGGTTTATATCCATGCGGTTCGTATGATAGTCCTTGGAAAATAGATGTATAATGATGTATATTTTCATATCCAATGTTGATATCCATAGACAATCTCCATGGGTTTAAAGGGAACATATTTTGAAAATACCACAGTTCCTGTTGTTTCCTAGAAATGTTCCTGACCGCCTGGCTGGTTCCATCTATGTCTCAAGCGGTTCCACTAAGATGTTGCTCACTTTTGATCCAGGTGAAAGTGAGGACACTTCAGAGCTGGTTCCCATTGGTTCCCCATGGCATTCCATGGCACTGTTCGGCCGGATAAGGATCTTCTGGTAAGATTCTGGTAAGACTTCCTCAAGCCTCACTCTTGTCACTTCCTGCATATTTTTCCATTTTCAGAGCTGCAGACGTGTCCCAAGAAACAGTAATTATCCAGTGATTATGCAGTGGCGATGGTGACTCACCAAAGGTGAAACACATGAAAGTCTGCTCTTAATAACATATCTTATCCATTGCCATGTCAACTTACTCCAAGTTCCATACCAGTCACAATCTAAAAGACAGGGGAATCTTGGTTGACCCTTCCTGGGATTTTTTTTTCGCCTTCACCATGGTTTGACCGACGAACTTCAGCTGAGCTTCAAGCGAGACCTTACTCTTCAGTCCCAGCGAGTTCTGTAAGATGGTTTGGCAACCGATAAATTCTTCCATGGAAACCAGGCCGTCCCCATCTTGGTCGTAGACGTCATAGAGGGGCCGCACACACGCCTCCATGCAACTGGAATCAACCGGGCGAGCGTTTATGGTTGGTGGTACCCCTGAACGCTATGTTTGTTGGTTTACAAAACCATTAACTATAGCTACCATTAACCTGATGAAACCACAAATACATACAAATACAAACTATCATTTAGCTAACTACTGGGCACCACCTTGTACAATGGTCATGGTTATGGTGTTTTTTTATTGGTTTGAGCCACCCTAAACCCATCCCAGTGGGTACTTCCCGAGTCGCCTCCAGATCGAAGTATTCCAAACCCTGACTTCCCATCCGCACCGTGCCCATGGGCTGTTGGAGCCATTCGATGAATTCGTTGTACTCGATGATGCCATTCTTGTTTTTGTCGGCCTGGAGAGCGAGTGTTTCTCTGTGGAGCATAGGTGGTGGATGGTTGGATAGTGTTGGAGATATGTTGTTTTTCTCCTATTGTGGAACCAAAAGTGGATCTTTCCAGAAACATCCAGAGTCTGTACTTCATACATCCTTCACTGATCTCCTTTTAGGGTCGTGGGGTTTACATCAGCTACCTTTTTCAGCCAAAGTAAGATGTCCCAAAGCAGCCTCAATTGAGACATTTTGAGTTCTTTTTGAGTGGGGTTCCATCACCAGGGCCGCGCAACCAACACTTTTTGGACAAACTCATGGTCTCCTCAACCTCGTGTTGACCTTTTCATTTGGCTTTGCTGAGTTGGGATGCAAGAAATACTTCGGTAGATTCCCCTAAATGGCAGATTTACTCACGGGAAAATTATTTTAAAAAAATCATCAGCGGCAGATTCAATCCAGGCTGAATCTATGCTGAATGCTTTGGAGCTCGTTTGTGATAGCCACGAAGTGGCACTGAACTTTGGTGACAGCGACTACTGCATCCGTGTTATGGTTATAGTTATGATCAATTCGTCCAATTTGGGCGGTCAAACAGTACGAACGATAGATGATTCGGGCATCAACAGCAACAATGAACCTTATCGACTGAGCACAAAAGGGTGGATCAATGGATATGTGTTTGATATTCATTGAGCTGATTTTTCCGTGGTCGTGGGAGGACTCAACGTCGACCTTCCAGTAAATGGATTAAACCATCCACATGGACCAGTCTGAACCTCATGGGATAAAACATCAGGACATATTTGAAGCATAGTGGACTTAGTAAATACTTTAAACATGTGGATAACCTCTATATGGTTCACATTTAGGACTTATGGGATGAGGGTATCAGCAGATCCTCATGGATTAAACCACCCACTCGTGACTTAGTAAAGATCATCCCATAAGTTTGCTGCTCACCCTCTGGGCACCCTCTGCGCCTCTGCAATACACCGCTCAATTTCTTCTTCCTCGGCAGGATTCACAGGGAGGCAATTTGAAATTTCCAGCCATTTCCAGGGTCTGGGCCCTCATCCATTTTCAGGGTTTCAAATCGGGGACCTAAACAAGACTTACCCTCTGGTTAATTAACATAGGTATTGAAAATGACCATGTATAGTATAGTGGATTTTCCCATTGAAAATGGATGAACATGGTGATTTTCCATGGTTATGTTAGTTTACCAGAGGGTAATAATCAAACATTTCGTGGTGTTTCAAGGGATTTTTCACCTTTGGCTTTGATTTCCATCGGACGGATGCAACATGATTTTTTATCAATCTGGAAGAAACCCCGATCAATTATTCTTTCGGGGTGACATCAACCATTTACTGCGGGAAATTTACTGCTATTCCCCAACTCTGTGGGTCAATGAATCGGTTTGGTTGGCAAAATCAGCAGGACCAAGGGTTTCTACAGCAACGTATTTTTGGGTTTCCTGTAGATCTTCCCTGAAACCGATTTTCGTGTCGAGAACAGCCGTGTCATGTTTCCTGAAACCAAACGGTCTAGAGGGTACCCTCTGGTAAACTATAAGATAGCTATGGAAAATGGCCATTTGTTGTGGATTTACTGTACCCATTAAAAATGGTGATTTCCCATAGTTATGTTTGGTTACCAGAGGGTAATCATTTGAATCCAAACACGTCGCTGCGAGACAAGCAGGTCTCTACACAAACTATCGACTGACAATTCATTCGGATTTCCGCGCAGATGGGACTGGAAACAGCTCAAGGTCGAGGCACCCCGCAAATGGTCCAAAAGATGTGTAATTCCGCTACTAAACCATGGTTCCTGGGGGGTGTTTAATATCAGGGAGAAGGGATTAAATATATCTGAAATAGGATACATCTATGTCTTGAATTTAGTTCTACACAGTACACTGTATCTTGTCTATGGGAAAACATTGCGAAATAAATATGTGTGAAAATAGATTCTGTGCCTGTTTGGCATTCTTCACAGATTCAGCTGATAAATGTTGAATGATGTATCACTTTTCATCAAACAACTTATCAATCCTCATGTAGTCGATCTGGGCGTGAAACTAACGTCTACTAAGAAACTAACCCATTGAACGTCCGACCGTAGCGCCGACTCATATTACACCCGCAACATCCCGCAACTATAGCATGTCCGCATCATTGAGAACCCCTCCAAACCTTCCCTAGAAATGGCATACTCCTTTGAAATCCACTGTTTTGGTTGCTTTAAATCCCATTTGAGTTGGAAATGTTGGGTTGCCTCAACCTCCTCCAACTTCATGGCTTAAATCTCAAATGTATGAGTAACAACCCCTACTTTCCCAGTCAATCTACATCTATTTTTGCTGTCATCGAAGAAATCCATGGTTTTCTGGCAAATATCCACCTTTTTTTATTCATTTTTCCAATTTCAATCAAGATCTGTGTGGCTCAATCCACCTTGAAATTCGTCCAAAATCGCCACGGACCATCCCTCCCTAGGTGGACCTCTGCGCCGAGCTGCGGTGACGCTCTTCCCGGCCACGGCCGTCAGCAGCTCGGTCAAGCGCTTCCGGGTGATGACGCCTGTGCCGTGCACGTCCCAGCGCTGGAAGATCTCCTGGACGGCAAGGTGGTGGAAGCCATGGGCCGACTTGGGGACTTGGGGATCCATTATTCAATGGATTGGTTTAAGGGAAAATCTACAGGAAACCATGGTTTTTACAATCAAATATAGGGGTTTCCTGTAAATTTTCCCATCATCCAATTCTATGACCTATTGTAGGGAAGATCGTGGGAATATGGATCCATGAATAGGATGAAATATGGATGAAATATTGGTATTCTATAAACTTGGGGAATATGGAAAAATGATGAAAAATGGTGGTTAAGGTGTTTTAGCATGAATAGAATGGGAATTAGGATATGAGTATATGACTAAGCAAATATTCTGGGATTGGAGTGCTAACATAAATACCGTTCTTGTAAGGTATGTTGGTAAACCACTGGTTTGTGTGGTAAGTGGTTTGTTCATATGTGCCATGGTCGTCCCACAGTTGAATCCTATGGGTTTGTTACGTACTGACTTAGGACACCATGGACACCCCAACACATAAGCCACTCATGTGGGTATATTGTGGTATATTCCATATCACCCCGAGGCAGAGGTTGACTACCGGCCCTCGAAAAAAATCACAAAAATAGTACAGTATCTGCTATAGTTCCGTTTGGCTTTTTTGGATGCTGAGATTAGATGAGAGTAGCCCCCAGTGTTTGCAAACACTCTCATGGGTCATTAAATGTCCCCATTGAACATCACCCAACCATTAGGTATATGATCTATAATGGCTACTATAAGGTGATATCCAATATACCCAAAATGGGACAGTTACCAACCCCTGACTCTTATCTGGTTAGTTGCTTCAACACTTTGAAAGTCATTGGAGATCATTGGAGACCAAAGTATGTGTTGGGAGCCATCAAACCAGCCAGGCATAGATGATCATCTTGGATCATCCTGCTACCCTCGCAGAATCAAACTTGGCCACCGGAAGCGCCCCCCCATTTCAACATATTCAACATATTCAACCCACTCTATCTGGATATATTTATTTTATATACTTTATAAAAATCTTTAAAACTTTATACTAAATCCCAAAAACAAATATCTAAGATAACCCAATCTTGTTCATTTACATATAGTACTCCGTTCATGTCGGGATTACCTTTTGAGCATTACATACATTTTGGGGATGATTCCCCTTACAGTACAACCCTGTTTTTTTCGATAAATAGGGCACCCCATGGCACGGATACACACATCTTCCCATTAAAACCACCATATAATTGTGATAAATCCCACATTGTTGGACAAACCCAGATCATATCGTTGGTTGAATCTCTATATATATATTGTATATATATATATTATATTATATATTATATATATAATATATTATATATATTATATATATAGTCTAGTCCATACCAGCAAACATATTATTCCATCATGAAGATCGGATTTCCATGGCACTCTATGGTGCTGAAAATCAACGGGAACCGCGACGCCTTGGTTTTGTTGGACGTGGGCGAAGTTGGCGACGTCGACATGATTTTTGGTGCGAATGACAGTTGAGCGCCAGGAGTGTCAGTGGAAGCATCCCTTTTGATTTGTGCAATTAGTATGTATTATCACATCAATGTAGTAAAGCAATATATGTACTGTATTTTGTTTCCAAAACGTGTTGTTCTTCTTTTTTTATGTGTAATATGATGTAATATGTATGTATATATATATTAATGTGTATATGATTATACAATATTATACATGATATTTCAGAAGATTCCAGTGATGAACACACATTAAACCTCCAAATATCATCAACTCTCATTATTGCCAAGTTGTTTCTCCAATCAAATCTCAACATTAGTGACAATCTCGAGCCACAAAAAGGTCAGTGAAGCACCCAAGATCTGGGAAACCAGCCTGAGGGCTGTACAAGAGCACGGCCGTTGAAGGCTGGTTTGTCAAAATATGATTCCTGCTGATGTTGAGCACTTTTTTCAGTTGTACATCACCCCTTTTAAGTTGTGATTATTGTCCTCTGGCAATCATGTCCATGGCAATGGAATACCCCACATTTATGTGTGGAATTCCCATGAAAACAAACCTCCAGTTATATGGGTATGTCTGAAAATAGGGTATATTCCCAATTATAGCCATTTAATAGGGATAATGATCATTAACCATTGGGTTTAGGGGTACAGTATTTTCAGACACACCCATATGGAATTTTCATAAATTTTCAATTGCCATGTTTGATTGCCAGAGGGTAAGTACCCAAGCTCCGGTCAACCCAGTTCCTGACGAACATATCCCCCTGAAAGATAGATTTTGATAGCGAACTTCTACCGTCAACCAACCATAATCTATCAAGGCCCCCATATGTTTCATAGTTAAAACTATGATTCTGGGGTTGTCTTCAATTACACGGCACCCCAAAATTTGATGGTCGATTGATGTTGACCAGCAAACTCCAAATTGTTGGTTTTCTATACTCATTTGATTCCCATCGTATCCAATAAATTCCAATAAGTAGAAATCACTTTAAACATCTAAAACCAATATCTGACAATATCTATAAATCTGGGTAAATTATAATATTTCACTAACCTGAATTGTTGGGCCATTTGGGGATGATTTCCCTTATTAACCATAGTTCCAGTGATTGGATTAAATCCATATGTTGGATCACTCATCAAGCAGGGTCCGGCAAAGCCGCCCTGCCTTGGCCCGGCGGAGCAAGGAACGGCCAGTTCGACCGAGCCTAGGGAATGGATGGATAAAAATTCAGCGATACGTCCCTGGTAATCAAACATGGCAATGGAAAATTCCCAGCTAAATGTGGGTTTTATATGGTTTTATATGGTTTAAAATGAAAAATCCTCCATATATAAATGGATCCAGGATGATCCAGGTTTCCAGTTGAACAGTTATAAATGGTGGATTTAGACTACCTGAAGGTAGTTCATGTTCGTGCATTTTCAGAGGCATGTCATTTAAGTTTATCGCGGCCAAGGTCATCTGCCAGGAGTTTCAACTGTCATGGGATCTGTTGAACCTCAGCCTGTGATTTGGAGCTCAGCAATGCAGTCTGGAAGATTGGCTGGAGAAGAGGAACGCCGAGAACGCCTGTAGAAATGCATTGAAAGGAGTACCCTCCAGTAATCAAACATGGTTTGCTGGGAAATCCCCAAAACGACGTTCCGACTGCAACCATTTCAAACCTGCATTGATAGAGGATTTCCCAGCCATGATTGCCGAAGGGTGCCACTGCATTCAACGAAACGTTTCTTCCTGTTCTTTGCCGTTGAAATCACTGGTCTTTTCCATCCAAAAACAAGAAGTAAACCTGTAAGATGGTTACATATCCATATGTTTTTTAAAACATATTCATACATATATATATATATATATTGTATTTATTTATTTATTTTTCTATTTCTGCAGTAGGTTTCCATCCAAAAAACACAAGCTTTCAAGCGCTTGGTGCCCCCCACAGCTCCCGCGCGAAGACTTCGAAACCCACGCCGCTGGCGGCTCCGAATGCAGCCAGGAAGTCCTGACTTTTCGAGGGTGGAAACACGATTGAAAAAGGGCGATGGATCATCGAAATGGTGGTCTTATGGCAGTTTAATGGTGGTCTTATGGCAGTTTATGAATGGAGGTTTCGTAAAAAATTGGATCCCCAGTTGTCACCATAGGTTTCGATACTGAGATATATTACGTCATGGTCATCCATGACGACTGATGGCAGGGGGTACCTCCAAGGAGGTCCCAAGGTCAGGATGTTTGCTCATCGCCGCAAAAAGGGCCTGCCTCGGCGATAGTGTTGGAGGGCTGCAGTGGGTTTAAAGAGATATATGTCCTTGAAGTAATATGTGTATATATATATATACATACACATACATTATATATACATTATATATACATTATATATACATTATATATACATTATATATACATTATATATACAATATATACATATATACAATAATATATAATATATACAATACATATATATATATATGTAATAATATATATGTATATAATAGTATATACGTAATAATTAATAATATATGTGTAATAATATACATGGAAAATATATATGTAATAATATACATGTAATAATATATAATATATGTAATAATATATAATATATGTAATAATATAATATAATATAATTATATATATATATCCCCAACTATATATATACTATATAGTACCAACTTATATCAAGTGTAAGATCGTTATTCCAACTATACGTTGGACACTTATATTCCCAACCATTTAATGTATTTGCCCGGGATATATTCAAAAGGGGATACTTGCTGGGGATAACCAACTATATATGGCTCAAAGGATTCGTTTTCTTGGGAAAAAATAAATCGGAAACCATGGCAAACATAGTAAAAGTATATGTATGCAGGTTCTTGTACATATAATATTCCATTCAACCAATTGTCGGAAATTACTTGGTCGAACACGGTAGAACCATGAATGCATGATAAGTGGGTGTATAAGATCATATACCTATATATAATCGTTTTGAGTCAGGTGACAAACACCCATAAATTGACCGTGGGACATGTTGCTATGAGTATGATAGATATGGTGTACAGCAGATTAAAGACTCTCGAATGAATGACGATTTACGATTACACAACTACAGCCAAATAAAGCTAGGCGCCTTCCAAAACCAAGTCATTAACTGGCTTTGACTCTAATCTTTCTTGCACCGCAGCGCCTTGGAAATTTTGGTTTGACATGGTTTGACCTAAAAACAAATCAAACAAAGTGTGTTCAAGCATTTTTTTAAATATAAAAACATAGTTACAGCTAAGCATCCTGTGTTGCTGGATTTCCTGGATGTTGGCTTTCTTCTGATTTCCCACTGTTTTCCTCTCGGTTGTGTCTAAACAAAACCTCAAATCTCCACAATGTGCCCAATAAATATCCAAAGGAAGAGTGGAGTGTCTTGACTCTTCAGGTGTAGTGCCAACTTAGATAGGGGAAGCTCTGAAATATTTGAATCTCTAAATGAGTATTGGATAATGAATTGTGAATCGATGTAGTAATATGCACTCTATCCAATCCCTTTCAGGGGGGCGGGTGTATGAATCAAACGCAACCATTATAGATACACAACAAAAAACATTACTAGTACAATCCTACTAAAACCGTTAACATATAAACAATCCATACTGTAATAACCCCCTAAAATTCAATGGCTCAACACGTCGAAACAAGACGATCTGGTCAAATAACACCTTCCAGCGAGTTCACGGCCCGTTCCCACACTCACAGGTAGTATAATATTATCATATAATATATATATATATATTAATATATATATATATACGTAGTAATTATAATATACTATAATATACATACATACTAACCATAATCTGTATTAGATTGTATTAGTATATATTAATATGTACTGACTGGTCGTTTCTACTCCCGCATCCATGTCAAACCCCACAAGCTCAAGGGCTTCCGCACAGCTGTGCTTCTGAGAGCTCACTTCCCACCAGACCAGCCTTAGTTCGGCGTTTCTATACTCAATAGTAAACCATCCCCAAAATTACAAAATTTAACTGGGTGATACTGGGTGCTATAGACCATCCCCAAATTGTAGGTTTATTATGGGGGTTCCCACATGTTCCGATATTACTTGATATGGAAAACGATAGTGGTATGGAAAACGACAATGATTGTTGATAAATCTACATAGATATGGAACATGATCTACTTTCATGATGGGTTTTCCATATATTGATTTACCAGAGGCGAACTGGAAATCTGGAGACCCTGATTTTATCATGGTTACATTATGCAACATGATACTGACAGGTTCTTTTCCGTATTTTGATTGCTCCCTAATTTTGCCCTGTGAAATCCCCTATTTAATCTATTTTTCATTGGCAAATCATCTTTCTTGGATATTCTTCCTTGGTTCAACCACTCACGGGAACCACCACCCCAAGCACCACCCGGAACCGGGTCTCCATGCCACCCCCAAGCCCAAGGTCTCCTTGGACAGTCGGGTGGACCCAGCCGGGAGCCATCGCCTCAGCAGTCGTCACCATGGGTTTCAATACGAGTTGTGGGTCATCCATGACGACTGGAGCTGGTTGGTGGTATACCTACCCCTCTGAAAAATATGACTTCGTCAGTTGGGATGATGATTATTCCCAATGGGAAAATAAACTTCATGTTCCAAACCTCCAACCAGATGACGACTGGAGAATTTGGAGGTACCCCCATGACTTCGGAAACCTCATGATTTATCATGCTGAAGCCACCAACATGGGGATCTCTGTACTTGAATTTATATTGGCGAAGTTGGTTTAGTGAAGCACTAGTTTCACTGTTGAGTTTATGGGGATGCACTCACTACGGTTAGATGAAACCAACGGAGAATAGCTGGAGCCACTGAAAAAGATGTGGAGATCATCATCCCTGGGATGATGGTACCAAGCATTTAAAACTACGCACCAGGAACTTGTTTCAGGAAAAGGATCCAAAGTTTATTGGGTAACTCAGTAACTCCCTCAATTTTGGGTATCTCAA